TTACCATATGTTACAAATTGTCCAATTCATACAACTAAAATACCACACATGAACCATGGTGGTAATATATGGTATTATACTGTATAATGCACATACCATTCAATACCACCATGGTAATATGTGGTATTCTACTGTAAATATTAACTTACAGACCAAAAATGACTAATGCAGGCTGAGAGAGCACTGAAGATGGTGAAAACATCAATGAAAGCTATGTTGCTATCAATCAAGAAGCAGTACAGAGCTCAAATTGAAGAGCTTGTCAAACACAAGGAAATGTTGGAGCAAAAAGCTGATCAAAACTTTGATGAAGTGGAAGGAGAAAGATCTGATGACGTGATTATCGAACAAACTGAAGGAGCTGAGTCTGATGATGAAGATATAGAAAAAGATGCAAACCTGCAAGACACTCTGCAGCATTTTTTTGACAAGCTCAAAACAGACAAAAGGAAAGAACCCACAGTCACTGAATCTGAAGGAAATGATGATTCTCAACAAACAACAGTGGATCTAGCTGGACCAACACAATGGAAGAAAAGGAAGAATCAAGATGGTTCTCCAACAAAACCAGAAGCTCAACAGCAGAAAGAGAATCCTGCTGAAACTGCTGAGAAGGATACTACTGAAACTGCTGAGAAGAACCAGGAGGCCAGCAAAAAAGGAAATCAAGAAAAGTCAAGTGAAATGAATCAAGATCAGGAAGCAGATGACAGTGAAAAGACACAGTCAGATGTGCTTGTTTCAAAGGAGGGAGAAAAGGAGAAGAACAATGATGAAGAAGCAATACAGCCACCACCAAAGACTGCAGGAAAACCCACAGATGCACCACCAAAGACAGCCACCACCAAAGACAAAGACATACCATCTTTTGACCTCAGCCCATTCAATCCACCATCACAAACAGAAAATGTCAACATCACCACAGCAACAGCATCACAACAACCAGAAGAACCGCGCAAAAGAAGGATAGTGGTTAAGAATGTCCATGGACCAGAGAAGAAAGCAAAAACATCAACCCCTCCACAAGAAAAAACAAGCAAACAGTTGGAGAATAAACAATTCATTGAATGGTCAAGCTTGTACTCGAACAGCCAGGAGAGGCTACAGGAGATAAATGCATGCTTGGCTGCTTACATTGATGACCTGAGTACACCAGTTTCACAACCAATGCCAGGAATGGACTCATCAGCAGCAAATCAACCAGTTGAAGCAAAAGATGGTGCCCTAGATGCAATCCCAATTGCAATGATGGTTACACCACCTCAGACAACTCCTGATGAAGTTTTCAATGACATTCTTGAGTACATAAGGTGCAAAGACAACAAAATTGTCTCCGAGTAAGTAAATTTCTTAATATCAATTAATTTCTTAATGACATATGGTATGGTATGGTATGATATGGTATAATGTTGAACAATACCACATGGTATAATGTGGTATACTCTTCTGAACAGGGACGAGGTAATGTTCAGAAGAGAGGATGGAACAGGCTTGCTCAAAAGGTCATCATTGCAATCTGTTGACATAGATCAACTGATAATAAATGATGTCGTGGACTGGTATGGAGATCTGATGAACAGAGATCAAGCAAAAACAGGAAAAATCACCAAGTGGTTCTTCTCTAGTCATTTGGCAGTAAGTTTGTCCATATTTTAATGTACTATACTTACCATACCTGAATATATGATTGCTTTAACATAATTTCAAATGTACAGTCTGACTGCAAGCTGGACATAGAAAACAACAAACCTCCACTAAGTGCAGACCAATACTTCGACAAGGTGGATGAATATATTTCTGACAAACCATGGGCAAAAGACCTCAGCTTCCAGAACTGTGACCTTGTAAGTAACACTACAAATACCATAAAATACCATATGGTATGACATCAAAAAACTATTCCTCAAAACATATTTATAATTGTCCATTAACATTATCACTTCATTTATATGCAGTGGTTCTTCCCTTACTGTGATGGTGAACACTACATCATGATCTGTGTCAACATCAAGAACACAAGATTTGATGTGCTTGACAGTCTCCGCTACAAAGACTTTGACAAGACTTACAAACCAGTGGCAGAAAGAGTTGTCAAGTATGCAATCAACTACATGAGTGTGTACGGTGGAAACAGACAAATCTACTGGGAAAAGTTTGACTGGTTCAATCTGGGGAAGATTACACAGCCAGATAAACGCTCATGTGGATTGTACATCATCAGATGGATGCGCCACTGGGAAGGAAAGTACAAGACTTTTATGCAATCAGACTGGAAGAGAATGGATCTGATCAAAGAAGACAGGGAGTGTATCATGCTGGATATCATCCTCAATAAAGACAACCTGGAGCGTGATCGGATAATGAAGGCTGCCACAAAGTACTGTGCTATGAAGAATCAAAGCAAGTAAGGGAAGGGGACAGAATCAGTATGGTTACAATATCTACTATAGACATCAGCTTCTGAAAACAATGCTTTTGCAGACAACCAATTTGCTAGTTTTTTTTTATGTGTGTGCTTTTTAGAACAAACAAGGTATTCAGTGTGTTTCTTATGTGTGTGCTTTTTAGAACAAACAAGGTATTCAGTGTGTTTCTTATGGGTGTGTTATAACTTACATTTGAAACACTTCTTATTATGGTTATGTAACAGCCTAGTACTTTATCTTACCCCTTATTATTGTCACAGATCTAAGATTACAGTCATCAAAATGTGTATACCATAGTATACCATATGGTATAACATGGTATAAACGTTTTTAAATGCACCACAACAACATAGATGGTATTTTATGGAAACTGAACACATCACAGATCACATATCTAACATTACAGTCATCTAGAATGTTTATACCATAGTATACCATATGGTATAACATGGTATAAAGATCTTTACCATAGTATACCATATGGTATAACATGGTATAAGGATTTTTAAATACACCAGAACAAAGCCACATGCTATTTTATGCTAAACTGAACACAACACTTAGCTAAGATTACAGTCATAAAAATGTTTTTACCATAGTATACCATATGGTATAACATGGTATAAACATTTTTAAAAACACCACACAACACCATATAGAAAAAACATTATATCAAAGGTTAAAATCATCCACTAAACATTAAGTCCTTCACATGTGCAGATCAATACTACTTCAAAACAAAACAAATATGCAAGAAACACATAAAAATCAACATCCTTCAACAGCTAATAAAACTCCACAGCCTTCAAACAACTATCACAACTTCAACTTCAAACTTTCTTCCACAGCCTTCAATTTCTCCTCTTCCAATCTGCTAGTCTTTTTCTTCTTCCTACTAGCCGCCCTTCCAATCTCAGCTTCTGTAATAGGTCGTTTCGAAGGCTTAAATGAATCCTTCTTAGGCTTAAACCCCTTCACATTTCGAACTGGAACATCACCTACAAATAAGAAATACATACTACAATCAATACCACATAATACCATATGGTATTCCAACATATTACCAGAAACAATAAAGAAAACCACACTATACCACATGGTACAACATGGTACAACATGGTAAAACAACTTGGCAGACAAAAAAATAACAAAAATCATATACACAAACAAAAGGGGGCCAAGGAACTTACTCTCACAGTTGGTCGATCCACCCGTACCAGCTGTTTCAACAGTTGGTAAAGCTTCACACTTCTTGATCAAATCACTCATGAAATCCATGGTTGTTTTATACAAATCATCATTCAAACAAACCCTACTGATAAGCGAAGCAGAAACAGCTGAAATATTAAACAGGCGAGACCGATACTTTGACGGAGCCTCAGTAGACGAAACTGCAAATCCAAAATTCCCACCAGTTTTTGCTGTCCTTGTCCATCGCTTCAAAATCAAACTAGAAGGGATGTGATGAAACTTCACATTGCAAGTTGTAGACCACAACAAATCATATCCCCTCAATTGATGCTTACACAACAAACCGCTTGACTCCCACTTGCGACAAGTACACTTAATTTCACCATTATCAAAATCAACTATGAGCAGTCTGCTGTCAAACCTTGACAAGTCTGCTAACAATGTAAAGACATCAAAGATCTTTACATTCCCTTCTTGAGCTAACTCTGTATTAGGGAAAACATTGTATGAAAGAGATTCTTTGTACTGTCCTAGAAAAAGCTGGAATATTTTTGGGGTATATAGATCAGCAACTTGCTTGACAATAGCACTGCTTGAAAAGCGACAATCAGCAAACGTAGAAAGTGCTCTGTACTCCTCTTCTTCTTCAGCATCTCTCTTATTATCAAGCATCCTATCAAAATGTACAAAGAATCTAGGAATACTAAATTCTGACTGCAAGTAATGACGAAGATTACTGTTGCAACACTCGCTTAACTGGGTGCTCTTCATACCAGCACCAAAATGAGAATTCACCCAAGCCGATGACCACTTCTCCCTCACCTTGTAAATACCTTGTAACCAACTGTGTCCAAGAGGTCCTTTCCCAGGGAAACACTTATCTATCATTCTTTTCCAATTATACTCAAAATCATCCTCATCATCAACATTGTACATCAAATAGCTAAGCTCACAAAGGAAATCCGAATCACACAAAGATCCCAAATTAACAACTGCATTCTGTGAGATATGCCATGAACACAATCCATGGAAAGAACTTGGGAAAACAGACCTTATACCAGCAGCAATTGCAGCAGCCTGATCAGTAAAGATAGACAACGGGCTCACACCTCCCATGCATTCCAAAAACTGATTAAACAACCACTCAAACGTTGCCGTTGTTTCATCATATAGAAGGGCAGCTCCAAACACAGTAAGTTGATGATGGTTGTTGAAACCAACAAACAGAGCTGCACATACCATGTGGTACACAGTGTTAAAAAAATGAATACCACAAAATACCACGATAGTATTAACAGATAACAACATAATGAATACCACAAAATACCACCATAGTATTAACAGGTAACAACATAATACCAAATAAAAATAAGAACACATACCTAGTGGTCGATACTCTTTATTCGTTCTGTATGTAGTATCAAAACTAACTGAATCCCCGAAAAAATGATAATCCATCCGCATCTTCCCATCTGCCCAAAAAATACTAGCAATATTCTCATCCACATCAACCTCTACCTCATGAAAAAAGCCAGGATCCAGCTTAGCTTGTCTTCTAAAGTGTTTTAGTAATGCAGTTGCATCACCATGCTCCATTGATGACGTCCTCACTGTCCGCAGGTGGTTCTTCAAATCATTTCTTGTGAAACCAATACACTTCCGACCACCACCAGCTGTACTAATTGCATTATACGAAGCAGTCGCACCTATACCAGCAGCATCATTCACATCTGCCAACAGTTTATACACAGGAGCCATTTTCCTATTCGATCTCATGTAGTGACGCATAGCCACAGGAATCATGTCATGGTTATGCACATCATACCACTTATAAATCTTGTAACAATTGAACTGCTTAAACCACCTAATTCGAATATAGGCACCATCACATCCACCCCTGATTTCTGGAACATGACGAACACGAGCCTTCGCATCAATAGAACCACGATTAGCAGGATTATTCTCACTACCAATCCTCCAGCCTTCCTTATTGCAACAATACTTGATATAATAAACCGCATTTGAACCATTATTAAGCTTCGGACATGCCGACTGATGGTAAATCCTCACACAAAAACCTTTATAATTCCCATAATCCACATAAAATCTATATGCATCATCAGTTGTAGCGAACTCAAGATTGTTCCAGGAACTTCGAACATTAGGATCAATACCATCAAAACCTAAAACATAAAAACAATGAAACATTAATGCTGTACAAACTATAATACCACCATTGTATCATATGGTAAAGTTTATTACAATCAAAACTATACAAATACCAGTGTAGTTTCTTATGGTATAACATGGTATTGTATGGTATAACATATATACAGAAACATAAAATCACAACAACTATAAAAACAATCTACAACAAATAAAACACAACACTCATATGCAAAAATACCATAGTATACCAGTATGGTATAACATGGTATAAACACTGGTACCATATGGTATAACATGGTATTGCAAGGTATTGCATGGTATAAACATATATACAGAAACATAAAATCACAACAACTATAAAAACAATCTACAAAAAATAAAACACAACACTCATATGCAAAAATACTATAAAATACCAGTATGGTACTGTATGGTATAACATATATACAAACATCAACTTACCAAACACATTTAAAATTCTTACCTTCCGATTCAACAATACTATTAGAAGAACTAGATCCAGTATTAGATTCATTCAAAGAAACAATGGCGCCTTGATTGAGATCACTCATTGCACTAAAAAAGCTCAGTCAACAAAGAAGATTCAAAAAATTCCTGCACAAAACATAAATTCAACTACGGATCAATCAACTGAACAAACTTATACAAACATAATGAGATCATTGATCACAAAGAACATAAAACAGAGAGCACAAAAGAGAAAACGCAGATATATGGTATAAACTGGTATTGCATGGTATAATCATATATACACAACATCAAAAACAAATTACAGAACGGAATCAATCCGCAAACGTGAAATCCTACTATCACTACAAATTACCTCGACGGAGACCAAACAACGGCCAGCAGAAACTTCAACACAAACAAATCGAGCCAAAACCTCGAGCAAGAAGAAGAAGAAGAATCGCGTCCTCCACAGACCTTCTAACAACTATAACTCGCAAATCCGCTGCCGATTAAGCTAAGAATCGCGTCCTCCACCAACCTTCTCGCCATCGACAGATCCTTCGGAGAAAAACTCTCGATTGCTCTGTTTACTTCTCATTCTCTCTCATGAATCCAATTCCAGCTCGGCCAAGGATAAACAAAAAAGGAATAACGAGCGAAGGACATAAATTCAAAAAATGGACAAAAATACCCCTGCCCCACCCCGCTCCGACCCCAGCCGTTAGATCTCCCCGCTCCAGATGGACGGCTCCTGTTGGGTTACTCACGGGTGCATAACCATGGGTTATGCACCCTATCTTGGACCGCATTCATAGGTTTTATTTTATTTTATTTATTTATGGGTAAATCCGTAAACATATAAATATTTTATTTTATTAATAAAATAAGTCATGTATTAGGTCACCCAATTCGTGGGTTAAGTCCCACGATCTCGCTCTAAAGCGGCAATGCGCGCTCTTTGGGAAATCCGCCAAAAAGTCGCGAACTATTTATTTGTGGAGCGCGATTTGGATTTGGGAGAACACGGTTCGTGATATATAGGAGGCGGTGAGAGGTTGGAGAAGGGGCAACAAATATCGACGATTGATTGGGTTATGACAGATGCCACTTTCGATGGAACACGTTTCTGGCGGTGCCAATTTCCCCTGTTTTTCTAGTTGATGCTCTGTTTTGCGGTACATGAAACAGGGATTAAGCTTATGACTAATTCCTCCAGTATGCTAGATTCCATTGCTGAACGGGAGTGAGTGACTAGTGAGTACTCATCAATAGCTCCTCGTGGCATATGCCTCTTGAGTCTTGACATATGTCGATTCGGTGCCAGTTGAGGCAGCATCTGATGATGAGGGCGGAGTAGTTGACTGTCGCGGTTATGCCGATGATGGAGACGACTTTAATGGGCAAGCTGGCGTCGGAGGGATGCAGCGTCAGGGGATCCATTGAGATGGGTGAAGATCGAAGCTTTATGTATTATGATTCAATTAATTTCTCAGTACCAGCGATTTTGGCACGAGGCAGTCAGCAGAGCACGCTAATCTGTGGGCATTACAAGGGAATCAGGGAGAAAGAAAAAGAGAAGAAACCACACGGTATAATTTAATTGCAATAGAGAAATAATAGAAATGGAAAGTACAATCAACAGTATCATTTATATCTGAAAAGTAAAAGCGTTAATATCTTATTTTGGTCTGAATTATGATCATATAATCAATTTGGGTGTGCCTACGGTGACATGCATGTCACGGTGACTTGCACTTTCCGGTCGACCTCAGTTAGGATTAGGTCGACCTCATTCAGAATTCGGTCGACCTCATATAGGATCCGGTCGACCTCATTTAGGATCCGGTCGACCTCATATAAGATCAGGTCGACCTAATCTGTTGTTTCAGTGTAAAAACAGTTCATGGTGCCTACTTTGGATATTCATATCATACAATTGGCTAGATGGAAATTGAAGACTAATGACTTGTTTTGAAGCTGGGGTGTCCCTCTACATATTGAAGTGATTGAGAGCTCGATAGGAAGTCCGGAAGACCATTTTTGAACCTCATCAAAAGGCTATGCCAAAACTGGGAAACTGCGTGGAAATGGCTAAGTCTGGAAACGTGTTTGTGAAGCCTATTTTGGAGCTCAATTCGAGAAGCATGAATGCGGGTCGAGTCCAGGAGCCTCTACCACGTTAAATTAGGTATGTTTTTATACAAATTCAAGACATTGGATGAAAGATTGGATATCTGTAAGGCTTCAAACAAAAGGGTCGAAGTTGCTACGAAGGCTGTTTTTCTGGCAGACTTCGAGCACAAGCAAGCTGCCAGAAAAACAGCCTTTGTAGCAACTTCGAGCCTTTTGTTTGAAGCCTTAAAGATATTTAATCTTTCATCCAATGGCTTGCCTTTGTATAAAAAAATACGTAATTTAATGTGGTAGAGGCCCCTGGACTTGACTCGCATCCATACTTCTCAAATTGAGCTCCAAAGTAGGCTTGACAAACACGTTGACAGACTTAGCCATTTTCAGGTAGTTTCCCAGTTTTGGCATAGCCTTTTGGTCAGGTTCAAAAATGGTCTTCTGGACTTTCTATTAAGCTCCCAAGTACTTTAATGTGTAGAGGGACAATTCAGCTTCAAAACAAGCTTTTAATCTCCAATTTCTATCTAGCCAATTGTAAGATATGAATCTCCAAAGTAGGCACCATGAAACTGTTTTTACACTAAAACAACAGATTAGGTCGACCTGATCCTATATGAGGTCGACCGAAAAGTGCATGTCACCGTAGCAAAGTCCAATCAATTTTGTCCTGTGGTTTCAGAAATTAATATCCTGGCCTCAACTATGTAACATATAGACTTAATTGGCCCGACACATAGTTTGACCATCAATTTGGATCGTCAACACCATTAACCGTTAGTCAACATTCCATGTCATTGCCTCGTCAGCCTAAAAATCATTAAAAAATTCAAATTCATATTATTTTCTAATTTTTATTATCAAATTAATCAAAAATAAATTATAAAATACATAAAATTAAATTAAATTTTAATTTTTAGGTAATTTGAAAATGATAAATGTTATAAATTAACCAAAAATTATCAAATTATTTTATATTTTTAAACTTACCCTAAAAAAAATATTATTTATATGATATTTTTTAAATTTATAAAATTTAATTTGATAATTTTTGGTAAATTTATAAAATTTATCATTTTCAAATATCCCAAAAATAAAATACAAAATTTATTTATATTTTTTAAATTTTATTTTTTGGTTAATTGGAAAATGATAAATAATAAAATTAGGAAAATAATTTGAATTTGATTTTTTTAATGATTTTTAGGCTGACGAGGCAATGACATGGCGTGTTGACCGTCCAAATTGACGGTCAAACCATGTGTCGGGCCAATTTAGTCTATATGCTGCATAGTTGAGACCAGGATGTTAATTTATGAAACCACAGGCCAAAGTTGATTATATAGTCATAGTTCGAGCCAAAATAAGGTATTAACCCAAAGTAAAACTACCCACCCTATTTAAATTTTCCTGCACGTAGAGTAACTTTAGGAAGCTGATGTGGTAGCCCATATAGGCGAGGTTTTTTTAACTAATCCTGTACACTGAAAACTACTCCCTCTCCCTCCCTTTTTGGCGGTCTCCCTATTTTCTCCGCAGGTTGTTTTGTCTGTCGCCTTCCAGCCTTTCACCATGCTGTAAAACCCTTTCCTAACTTCCTTCTCCGGTACTCTGGATCCAAGTTATGCAAAACCAATTTCTCCATTTGTCGAAGGGGTCTCCAAACCTGGTGTGTAACCGGTTAGTCCTGGCGGAACTTGATTTCGACAACGGCGGGGAAAGCAGGAGGGGACAGTGAAAGGAGAAGGGAGACGGAGAGGCGACACAAAGAGAGGGTTAGTGAGACTGACACACCTCTTTCGTAGACCCGCCTGCTGACTCGGGGGATGAATCGCTGGCGGGAGTGCATTGAGGACGAGCCGCTTCATGACCTCCGAAATAACCCTTTATCAAATGGTTAGTGTCCCTCTGTCTACGCCTGTATTAAGGTTTTGTTCGATTATATGACATCCAACCCCTATTGATAACCTTTCTAATTAATCCCGCCACTCCCATCTAGACTCCACGTATGTTCTTGTGAATTTTACATAAGTCGGCAACAACCAAGCAAGCAAACCCCAGCCTTAATCATCTTATTATGATTAATGATATAAACAGCTACCTTTTCATTTGTGAGGATTCTCAGCCGACTGATTCTATTGTTCGTGGTGCTAGGCAGAGAACGAAGGGCCTGCTGCGCCATTGCTGACTGCCAATTAATTGCCTTTACTTGATGTTCTGATTTCAAATAATATATCTGATTGCTTGGTTCTGTGTGTAGTCTGTTGTAGAGTAATTTCACCATCTCACTGTGGCAGGACTGAACCAAAACTTCATTGGATTCACATAATATAAGCAAGGTCTTTCATTGTGCGTTCTTCTTGGTTTGATGCTATTAGCTCTACTATTGTATCATTAAAATGCTTTTGATTCTTTGGTCCGTGGGTAAATTATTAGAAAATTAATAATGCAGTTCTTTGTTTTTATGAATAATAATGGAGGTTAATTTATATATAATTTATTCCCATCTCTTTTCATCATAAAAACCACAATAAGATTTCACAAAACTTGGATAATAAGGACTTCATAAGATTTGTGGCGTTTGGTTACACATGAACATGGGTGAGGGTTGAACATATTCTCTTTATATACTAGTTGTTTCTCGGTTTTGACAGAATTATTGGCTTGACATGTGAGCTTTGATTGGATTATAGATTAGTTTTAGGGTTAATACCTTAGTTTGGCCTGAACTATAGACAAACTTTCTACTTTGGCCCGTGGTATCGGAAATTGCTATTCTATCCTGAACTATGTAGCATACTTCCTTATTTGGCCCGGAGACGGGTTTGACCGTAAAATTAGACGGTCAACCGAGTTGACCGTTAGTCAAGATCCAGCTCACTTGCTACGTCAGCTAGCAAGGAATAAAAAATTTATTTTTTAATCTGTATTTTTACTTTCTAATAATAAAAATAATAAACAAAAAATATTAATTAAAAAAATCCAATTTATACTCTCCCTTCTCTCACCTTGATGGGAAAAAAATTTCGGCCCCCTTCCAAACCCATCTTATTCTTCGAAACCCTATCCCCTTTCCCCTTGCTCACTCTCTCCCCCCTCACTCTGTCCCTCTAAACCTTCGCCGCCGCTCATCACGGCGGGATTCATCTCTCCAGAAACCCCCAACCCTCATCAAACCCTTACGTCGATTAAAACCCCCTACTATTGTTGATTATTGGGAGGGATAGAGCGACCACAGAGGCGGCCGATTTTGAGCCAGAGGAGGACGAGGATGAACTCGTCAAAGTCTCCACATGCGCGCCGCAAAGCTATCGGCGAGATTGGTCGTCGCCACCATAGTCATGTATGGGTACTGAATCGATTTCGGTGTCGCTCATCTCCTCCGTTTGAATGTGTTTTTGGTGGGTTAGGGATTTGGGTTGCTGAATCATGTAAATTGATTTGGATGACAAAAGCATTTGGAGATATCAATTGTAAGAGTTATGAAGGGAAGGTGGCGATGGGAAGCAGAAGCATTGCCTGCTAAATGGTTAGTTGGAAATGGAAATGGAAGGTGGCGATGGGAAGCAGAAGGAAGGCAGATCCGTGAGGAGAGAATCGGAGAAGATAAAGGATTCTTGCGTTTTCTTTTGTTTATTATTTTGTTTGTTAGTTTTATGATTTTTTTTGTTTGTTAAATGTGATGATAAAATAATAAACAAACGAATAAGAAAGTAAAAATACAGTAATTAAAAAAATAAAAATTTTAATCCCTGCTAGCTGACGTGGCAAGTGAGCTGGATCTTGACTAACGGTCAATTTGGTTGACCGTCTAATTTGACGGTCAAACCCGCCTCCGGGCCAAATAAGGAAGTATGCTACATAGTTCAGGTCAGAATAGCAATTTCCAATACCACGGGTCAAAGTAGAAAGTTTGTCTATAGTTCGGGCCAAACTAAGGTATTAACCCTTAGTTTTAATTTGTTTCTCATGGATTCAACAAAGTTAAGAACACAGTTTGGTGCCAACAAGCTTTGATATTAATGCTTATGTTTCTATTATGCATGGTTCGTGGTTGATTTGCTTATAGCAGTGAGGGTGGTCTCCATTAAAGTTGCTTCTTGTGTTTTTACTTTTCCTTCTTTGTCAGATTCAGATTCCCTTACATGGATTAGTTTGACATAATATGCCAGCCCAAATCATAGGACAAGGAAGCAGAGATAACAACACAAGACCGATTCCGGTTGGGTATAGTAGAGTTCAAACATCAAACTGAAATCTACAGTCATTCATGGTACTGATCAATGTTGTTTCATCTCTTTCCCTTTATCTGTAGTTCATTTAGCCTCCTCAAGGTTGCTCCCTAATGTGTTAGGCCTCTTTAGGACGTTGAGATTCTTGATTGATGTCACAGAGCCTCCATTATAAATTGATAGAGCCTGCCAGTTTACGAGTCTCTTTATGTAGCTATATAAATTGTGAGATGTATTTTGCTGCAACTAATAATTACAATGTGATTACTCAAACTCCTTATTTCAGTTGTAACTTATAGTTTGAAAGCTTTAATTGGGTTTCTTAATCATTACTTGGGCACTAGTTCCTTTTCCTTTGGTGGTGTCATCTCCTTACAGTTGCTTTTTCCATAATTTGTGTTTGTTTACTTTTGTTTTAGATGTTAACTCGAATTGCCATAAACGGACTAATTTTTTAGTAGAAATTCACCGAAAGGCGATCCATTGGTGTTTCTAAGGCCACAACTACAACACTTTAACCGTATTTCAACGTGAGTTACCAGTAGATAGCATCTATTTGGTCATGTAGTTACAGTGGAATGACAATGACGAATTGCTAATAGCTTGGAGAGAAGCTAAAACTAGATACCCTTGGATTGATGCTATCAAAATTGCAGCAGACCAATTGAGCTAAAACTACTGGCCTACTATTTTTTTTCCATGAATTCTTAGAGCTAAGCTACCTGGCATCTACCAAGATTTTCCTATACTTAGTGTGCATCACCTACTGTTCAATACATAATTAAGCATGCATCTCTATCCCCACTATATTTCCAGTCAGGTTTCCCTTTTCAATCATACCATTTTCTTGCCTTGCATTAGTTCTCTTCCATTAGAAGCTTGATTATATTATCTGGATGAGTTATGTTTCTTTATATATGTTTACTGATTATATCTAGGTTATTGGTTCTCAAGGTTGTTGTTAGGTTGTCATTCTTACCTTCCTGTGTTCTCACTTAGCTTTTGACCCTCTTTATTACTGCCTGCAGGTGGGATTCCACTACATCAACTGACAATAGTTGATAACTACGGAGGCTGCTGCAGTTGAATGTATGTCAATTTTTTTTTGTCTCTAGTTGAACCTTATCCATCTCTCAAATTGCCATGAGTTGCTTTCTGCTAGCTAATTTTCGCATATCATTTTGTTTCTTAAGATGGTGATTAAACCTTTACGAAGCCATGAGATTTTCACCAGCTGGTACTTATTTATGCTAAAATATTCCATGATTTCCTTTGATTTTTTCACTAAACAGTTAGAAACTGATCACATTTTAGACTTCCAATTACAAGTTACGAGGTGGTATCGGTAATTGTTGCTCTCTGCACTATGATCGACATAGTCGGCCACAATTTCAGATATTGGGGTCAAAGAATCTAACGGCCATTCCAAAATGCTGACTTTCAGGTATATTAACATTCTATTACACTTAACATCCTAGAAGAAATTTAATTACACTTTTATTATTTGCCCAACTAATGTTTGATGCTCATATCTACTTGCTGTTTGTCAAATATCTGTGGAAGTAAAATCTGATATGATCTGGACTGGTTGTTGATTGGTTTATGTGAGAACTTAGAGTTGAAACTTGGGGACTTTTTTGTTCATGACCATAATCTTTCTCTTCTTAGCTTCTTTTTTGTTTTTTGTTGATGCAACACTTTTTTTCCTCCTGTTGTAATTCTGATTCTTTAATTTTGCAATGCTGCTGCTGGTTTATATAGGATAAAAGAAGGAAAAACCAAAGAACCAAAGAAAGAAGCTATGGAGAACAGGAGAAGAAGTCCATGGCGGAATTTACAGAGCTTAAACATGAAGTTGCAAGATAAGCAAAAGCTTTAAAATTTCTAAGTCTTCTTCATGCTATTTACTGGTGTATATGAAAGGAGAGGAATAGGCGGATCTTTGAGGGGAAGTTTACAACAAATGCCATGTCCTACAAGATTTGCAACTCAATTGCGAGGTGGATAATGACAGCAAATAAAGTAGACATAAATACATGAGAAGAGTGGCTGGTAGCTCTGATGTTGAGGCTATGCCAACAACATGGGGAGCAGGGGCAGCAGTGACCGCTTCAATATCCAAGTCATGCAGCCACAAAACAAGTAAAGATCAGTACTGGGAAGTCTTGAAACCAATTCGAAAGGGAGTGGGTTTGTCAGCACAATGTTTGAGTTTATGCTCCATTTCGCTCCCAACCTGACTGAAAATCACCCTTTTATAATTCCCTGTTATACTAATTTATATTTGTGTCCAAACTAAAACTTTTGTAATTTTAATTTATATTCCCTTTATAATCGCCCTTTATAATTCCAAACTCAAACTTTTTTTTACTTCTTCAAATCAATTTATATTTAGTTACCTCTTGCACTATGGAAGAGTAGTAACACCACAAGTACCTAAGTGATTGATTCGGAGATTAGAATCGTATGATGAGTGGAGACTGTACATTAAGCGTATTTTCTCTATTAAAAAAATAATCCTATTTGCATTGTATTATAAGTTTGAGACTCCAACGCATCATTCCGTTGGAAGCATTAATTTCTTAGGATAAGATTTTGGTTAGTCCCTTCGTGAACTATTTGGTTTGAGTTCGTTTCAATTATTTGGTGTAGATCATTGGAGATGAGATTAGGAGAGCACAATTTCATTTTTCTTCTTCTTTATTTTGGAGTTACTTATTAAATCCATTATTCATGTACTCCGAACAATCACAAGAGCTAAAGAGAAAGTGAAGCTCCAATTATTAATGGTTGCATTCATCTGCTCTTAAACCTTCGATGTTCCGAGATTCATCCCATCTTAAACCAGTTAGTTGCTTTCATGTAAAAGACCCGTTGATACATTTTGCAATGAGTTTTATAGTTACTTCTTATGCATGCTTTCTTATACGTACATTGGGAAGTTAACCAGCACCGATCATTGGGGATTTTATATATGAGGAAGCAGCCGCAAGTTCTTACTTTTGCGAGGTCATAGACCTTAATTTATTTCAATTGGATGTTCACATTATGGTAATGAAGTCTGCCAACGTTAAACTTTCCTTACCAATCTTGCCAACTGATGGCCTGTGTTTCATGACCGTTTCACCCTGATTTACTTCTATTTTACTCAAGAAAAATGCATACCTCTTCTCTGGGAGTGTAAAGGATGTGATCACCACTTCGCCGTGCGCTGCTTCCAACTCACATATCATCCGCCTAACAATTGAGAGTGCAACCAGTGAAGTTCAAGTTATTTTCCCTTGCCTCAATCGAGAAGAATTACTTCAGTTGTCATGAGTCACGACAATCCTTTAAATTACTTAGTTTTTGTTAGATCTCTATGTTGTTCCCCGCCTTTTATATCAAGAGGTAGTAGTGATTGGTTGCCTTAGTTCATAACATAAACTTTCTTTATTTCTGCATTAACCAACTGTATATGTAGGACTCTGCAATCATTTTAGTTAAGGGTTCATCTTGGTCAACATACAATTGGCAATTTTGTTTTCTATCTAAACCTTATCTTCATGACACTACTACTTCGTTGGGCATATAAGTTATAGGTTTGTCTCGGTTATAATAGCACTCCAATTAGATTTAGGTGGATTCGTGCCATTTTTATTTATTTCCTGAAATGCAATTCTCCCCCATAATAAATATAAATTTCCATATAACTATAAAATTAGAGCCATGCATTTCCATATAACTATAAAATTAGAGGCATGCATTTTTAGCGATATTAATGGTTGTTTAGTTGGTAAATAAATCTATACTAAGCAAGGTTGTTAATTCAGATGGCTAGATCAAACCGTTGATGCTATTAAGCACATGAGTTATGGGTTAATGGTTTTAGGATCAACCCAATTGGTTGGCCCACATTTAACACTTTTAAAGCTATAGGTTGCAACATAATGATTTGAGATTTGAGGGACAAAACAAATGAGGGTGGATTTAAGGTACCATTAAGTAAATTTCCATCCCCGACTCGTGCGGGAAGCGGGAGGCAAGATCCACTAGGTGGAGGCGATTGACGATGATGATGCCATGGGTGGCAGTCAGAGGAGTTGGTCACATCAGTCGGAGTAGCTGTCTGCGAAAAGAGCTCCATCTCTAGCGAGGGTCTAGGGTTTGAGAATGTGAAATTATGAAATTGGGGAGGAAGAACCACTTCCGTTGTCAATGATGTACGGAGTTGAAGTTTGGCTCAGTGCTCGATCAGTTGGTCAAACCAGCTGGTTCTCTAAGTTTTACATGTAATAAGATATTGCTCTCACCATCTTCATGAGCTCCAAACTTACAAATGAAATTTCGGTCCTTCGACCAACGATTCGAGTTAAAGCTAGTTATATAGGAGGGAACTATACTTTTAGTTTACCCTTTCTTATTCCTTGGATTTTTATTACAATTTTATCATAAGAGAAGAATATTTTTTACTTAAATACAATTCAAAATAATTAATTTTAATATAATATTGACGTTCTACTCACGCTCTCAATATTGAATTTAGGGGTGGGCAACGGGAAACGAGTATTTAGGTATACTCATACCCATCCCTTTTTTTAGAGTTACGGGTAGGGCTGGAAGTTTGGTACCAGTATTTGGGATATACCGAATACCGTACCAAATTTGTTTATATTTGGTATTGCCGAATACACGTATTATTTCTTGGGATTGTGATTTAATTTCAATTATAATTTGGTATAGGGATTACGGGATTGGGATCGGTATATACCAAAATACCGATCAATACCGAAATATAAGCTAGGGTGTATTTTACCCTCTCAACTAGACTCTCTCATTCACTACTATACAACTCTCAACCACCAAGAGTGTCATTTAATTATACATAGATCATTTCATCTTTGTTTCACAACTCAAAAGCCCCCATCCAACTCAATTTTGACTTTCCAATTTAAGTCACTCTCATCTCTCACCTAATAACTTGTTATTTTCATAACACAAAAAAACAAACACTAGTATTAGTCGACTCTCAGCCTTCAATTCGTCAAATTAAAGATTACCAATGACAAGAACTTGAGATGCCACCTCTCCTTCATTCTCCTTATCCATATCCCAGCTCTAGGCAAACTCAATACTCTTTGCTTAGTCTCTTTGCCCTAAATTAAACAATCAAATCTAATATATATATTTAATTATTTATTTGAAATGTAATTAATTTCGTATTCGATAATAACGATTGGGATACCAAAGTATCGATTGGGATACCGGAATATTTAGGGATTGAGATTGGGATACCGAAATTATTTAGGGATTGGGATTGTGATTGACTTTCGGGTATAATTCGATATTTGGTATTGAAATACCGATACCGTACCAATTTTCGCCCCTAGTTACGGGTACCCAAATACCCGTAATTTTTTGTACGGGATGAGACTTGGGAACAAGAAATTTTACAATAGGTACCCGCGGGTTACCCATTTGGATATTAGGGGTACCTGTACTACCCGTGATACCTCCCCATAGTCCAGCCCCATAACTAGTTTTCTACTGGCATAGCATGGATTCTACATAAACTAGCAATCCCAACCAGAAACGCATGGAACATATACACTGATTAACTAATCCTCATAGTAAAACTCAGCCAATTACAATTACAATTTACGCATGGAAATTATACCCTCCCACTCTGTCCAATACAACGATGTACTGACTATTGGGTACTGAGAAGAAGAATTGATAGCTTTGTTCCATTGCAACTTGTATATGTATATTTTTTAATTTCTTTCTGTTGGGCAAATTTTGTTCGATTACTTCTATTGTTCCTCATTTCCTATTCATTTCTCCAAGACAGGAAAGGAGAAAGCCGTAGCCTATAGGTACCCGCAGGTACACGTTATCCGTCCCGTACGTGTAATGGGTACCCGTTAACCGTACGGGTTTGAGACATGGGATAGAGTTTGCTCTCCAAATGGGATTGGGTACCTGTTTCAAATGGGACGGGTACCCAATCTCGTCCCGTTGTCCACCCCTAATTGAATTCTTTAAAAATTGACGCTCTGACGTTCTCGCTCACGCTCTCGTTCTACGCTCTGGTTACCTGAGTCATGCCCACATATACAAATTCAAATTAATTGCATTGATGCTGGTGAATGAAAATAATATATGTTGGATTGCAAAAAATCGATGTGGCATTAAAGAGCACAAATTAATATACATACCGAAAGTAATGTATATAGAGTGAGCGGCTGCATGACCGTACCCCCGCCAGGGGCGTTCCCTTCGGCAACGACCTATCTGGAGCCAAATACAGGCCAACGCCGACCTTCATCCTCATCCCCAGATACTAGAGGAGATTGCGAGAACCAACAAGCCAAGAAGAGAGTGAAA